ATAACTATTATTATCTGATTGAAAATAAATTAACCTAATCTAAAAAAGAAAACTCCCACAAAATTCCATACTCTAAAACAACTTCTCTTTTCCTGAGAAGTACTTTTGGACCAAATCACTAAATGTAATCTAGATGTTAAAATAAGTTGAAGTCCCACATCTTTATCATGTATACTAAGTATATACAAATATCTGCTGGCACATATTTCCCTTTCAAAATCCACCCAGAAAAACCCCAAACAAAAGAAAACAAAAAATCCCAGTCATTATTTTCATTTGTCTCATATAATTTTGATAGCTAGTTTAAAACAACCAGTGTGAGATGCAAGTTGCCTAGTGCTCAGATAAATTAAGCTAGAAACACAATAAAAACAAAAAAAAACCACAAAAAGCCACACACACAACTAGAGGGATAGAATTCTCTACTTCAGCTATCTCCAATACTAAGATTATCTAGACGAATGGCTGTCTTCAGTCTATTATTTTAACCATAAGCATTTTGGTTTGTCAATCTAAAGTCTCAGGTTTTTATGTATAATTTTTCTATACTATAAAGATACTAAAAGCAAACAAAGTAAAAAGACAAACACGTGTTAAAAAAAAAAGCTGAAAAACAAAATATAACAAGTAAGGAAAACATCTAATGTGCTAAGTAAACCATAGCTTATATTTCCCTTTCAATAGAACAACTCTGGCATACTGCACCCTTAGACTGGCTGAACCATCCTACCAAAGCTATCTGTTTCTTACTACCAACCATGAAAATATCCATAAAGTTTTTAACATGATTTGTGGAATATTTTGTTTGCCTAAAATTCAGCAAGGTCACACTTTGGTCTGTGTTGAAAAATCACTTTTAGGGGCACCTGGATGGCTCAGTTGGTTAAGTGTCTGCTTTTGGCTCAGGACATGATCCCAGAGTCCTGGGACTGAGCCCCGCATTGGGCTCCCTGCTCAGTGGGGAGCCTGCTTCTCCCTCTGCCGCTACCCCCCACCCCCTGGCTTGTGCTCTCTCTCTCTAATAAATAAATAAAATCTTAAAAAAAAAAAGGAAAAAAAAGAAAAATCACCTTTTACATTTTTCATTTGACAAACTAGGAGTGCCTCTATTACAGGTGGTGTCATATATCAGGATCTTTCTGGCAAAGAGAGAAAAGGCTAAGAGACCTACTGGCCTCTTGTCACAGAAATGATGTTTTTAATCTGTAATCACAATATTAATGGAAATTTTGTGATTTAGTAATGTTAGAGATTGAGAAAATTCAGAAGGAATATAGTTAATCGGATTATTATTTAAAATGTCATTCTACTATTTTATGTGAAAGTAATATTAATAAAAAAAAAAACCCCTCTATTTTCTGAAGTTGAGATCAGAACATACTATTAGAACATGAAATTCAATGAAAACCAAAAGAACCAAATGAAAGGAGAAAAATAGAAGGAAATAAGGATTTTGAAAATCTATTTATCCAATTATTGTTTATGGAGTTCCTTCTGTGTGTTAAGCTCGGATAATTTAAAGATGAATAAAATACCCTTGGAAGCTCACAGTTTGTGTGGGGAAGATGGATACAAATTATTATGATACAACGTAAGTACGTACTAATTGCTATAGAAACACTAAATGCCTAATTCTTATTTCTGTGATGGTGACATCTGAATCAGACTCTGAAAGAAAAATCTGTACTTTCTTTTAAGGAGAGAGGTCACTGCAGGCAGAGAAAATCAGGTATCTGTAAGATATGTAAAAGGGCAAAGCCTATTGTGACTGTGAGCCTGGAGTTTAGAAAGAAGGGAAAAGATAAACATAGGTAGGTAATAAAAAGTAAGCTGGTCAGATTTTGAAGTTTTACACATTCAACTTTTAGAAAATCATTTTATTTTAAAAAGAAAAGGAAAAACTCTTGACTGATACTGTGAGGTTGAATTAGTGTTTCTAAAGTATTTAATCCATGTCCCTCTGGAAAATGCTTTCTCACTCCATCTTCTATACATCACCACTGTCTAAGGAGCTCTGAGAAAGGCAGTCTAAAACCTAATGGCATGAGGCAGACTAACTGGGTTGTAAATCCTAGCTCAATCACTGACTAATTGTGTGTCCTTAGGCAACTTAACCTCTCATGCCTCATCTTTAAAATGTAAATAATACCGTAATTCGCTGGATCTAAGACCACTGATTATAAGATACATCATTATTTTATGTAACACTAAGAAAAATGTTATCAATTAAACTCTGACATGCAATAAAGTTTTAAAAATTCATCCTGATTACAGAGATGTCAAAAATGGTGGTGGGGGGGGTAGAATGGAGGATGAAATATGGTAATTTTAGCTACCTCACAGAATGGTTGTAAAGAGAAAAGGAGTTCAAACATGTAAAACCCTTCGCAGCACAGCACCTGGCATATAATAAGTACTCAAAGTTAGCAGGTAGTGTTTGCCAAGCCTTACTTTCTGCCATACGCAATTCTTTCCTTTCTATAGTTTGTAAAGCAAGAGATACTGAAGATATGTATTCAAACTGCATTCACTCTACCTTGCCTGAGGTGTCCGTACACCCACACACTGGAGATTTTAATATAAAGCATAAACCTCTGTAACTAATAGAAAGTCCTTTCTTATTCTAAAGATTTATGATATTGTGATGCAAGTGCAGGGTTATCTCTGTGTGAAGAGCATTACATTTCATGCAGTTTGACTCTGCCAAAGCATGAGGATGTCTAAAAACTTCTTGGTAGGATCATTATTCTTCCCAAACAGTGTCTGGCTCAAGTTCTTGACATTCAGTCTAAGCAAGTACACACACCAGGTGTACTGCTTCACGCTGAAGACACTGAAGCACCTACGGAAGCTGCTGACTAGCTTCTGGAGGAGGCTTTATAAACAACCCCAGATTGCTACACTGACTCATAAAGTTCCATCTGACATTCTGTTTTCCCTGCTGATGACAGATCTTGAAAGGATGAAATGTAGAATCTAACTATAATAATTAGTATCCAAGTTTATCAAAAGACAAAAGCACAATATAAAGTTAAAGGGAGGGGGACCAGAGATTTACCTTTAGCATGGTAGCACCACAGTTATAACATTTATCTTCACTACCTTCACATAGACAAGATCAAGTTAGGTTACTGTCATCTTATACCAAACTAACATAAAATGATTAATAGTAGTTAGGAAATTTTCTTCAAAACGACCACGAATTAATGCATCAACACTGCTGGTTTCACTTTACATATGAAAGTTTGACTTCTGTTAGAGCCACTGCCAATGAACCAAAGTCCAGCCAGATCATATGGCTGTGACCTATAGGAGGGTGAAAGAGAAAGGCCAAAGGGTATAAAGAATTTATCTTTTAAAATCGATTCAGTGCATTTATATACAGAACTATTCATCCAGTATGGTACTAAAGATTTTTAATCCTCAAGAATTGGAGAAAACAAAGCAGCAAAACTGCTCAAAATATCCTACACTTTGAAAGATCTCCTGGGATGAGAACAGAGCTCAGATTCCAATACCCCATTTACTGGATATTTTGCCAAAGTGGGTGCGAAGTTAAATGGGAACAGCGTTAAATGTGCACCTGTCCATTACACATTACATCTTGACCAATTAATCTCATAGTCACCCAGAGCTCTCCAGATAATGGCTTCGATAATACTAAGAGCCAAAAATAAAAGATCCTATCATTATTAAGTTAACCTCAGCTCGTCAGCCTCTCTGCTAGTGGCATTTTAACAGAGAAAATTAGAAAAAAAAAATCAATCAACAAGGACAAGTAAATATCCCTTGATTACTGAAAGATAATTCGTTCTGAAATAAGGAGGTCATATTTCCTTTTCCCCTTTACACCAATTTCAAAACCCACATCGAAGGCCTCCTTTCAAACTGCTTCCGACGTAACTTCCTTGCCCACCTCGACTCCTGTCAACCCACAACTTCTTTTCAAATAATCTGCCCCAGTGCCTTTACTTTGTAAAAAGTGTGCAGCCAGAACCCTTGAAACGTTTCTGGATCACCGAGGCTGGGCGACACCTCCTCCATTTGGCCAAGGGCATCCTTTGCCAGCTGTCGCCCAGGCGGCAGAGGAAAATGGGGCGGCCCTTGCCGCTGTCCAACAACAGCTCGGCTCTGCGGCACAGGGCAGAGGCCGGATTAAACAAAGGCTAAAGAGCCGGACCCCTAGGGCTCAGAACCGACGACCCCAACTCTGGCAAAGGGGCCCCTGGCAGGAGGGGCCTCCGCCTTCGGCGCCCCGGGCTGGCCCCCGAGGGTCCGACCTGGTGCACGCGAGGCCCGGGCCTGGCGCGGCTCCCCCCGCGCAGCTCGCGCAGGAGCCCGGG